AGTTTTAAACAGGTTTTTAGTTGGTTGTATTTTATTGTTTATTCTTACTTACGATTCATTTCTCAATTTTGACCCACATTTACGTCCTAAGGATTCAAATTTTATAATGTGCTTTATTCTTCGTTTTCAGAAAATTTCGAAAGAAACCCTTGGATTGAAGAGCTGTTTCTAGCCCGCAACAAGTTCTCCACGGTACCTGCTGGAATATCTTTGCTGACGAATCTGCACATTCTGGACATGTCTGGAAACCTCCTCATCACACAAGGATTGGCACTCACTCTGCAACCTCTCACAGAATTAAGGAAACTCAACCTGTCTTTCGTGCCACTAAGAGATTTCGAAGTTCTGTCTCCGGAGTTTGTTAGTCACGAAAGCAGTTACGAGATTGACAACCTGAATGCAACATCTTATGATAACATGGTACAGAAAGTATTTTTATTATTGTTTGTGATTGTTAGTCTTCTTTTCCTTAAAAACACTAAAAATTAGATTCTTCTATGAAATCTCATCATTTCCACTCAGATCTCAGCAAATTATTACACTTTTTTTAATTTTACTGAAGATACAATATATTTGGTAGGCAATTCGTATAAACATACAAAACAAATCATTACCAAAATAAATGAAACATGTTACTTCTACATTACAAAATCTATGTCTCTTCACCGACTGAGTAAATGATCAATTTTGGGGTCTCACAATGTAAGGCGCCTTGAAGTAAGGTTCTCTAAACATCATTACCTCGTGGGTACAACTAACAAAAGAATCAAAATTAATAAAATACGCAAAATTATCGCGAGTTCAACAATAATGAATTTATGAAATACTTATTTATAGAAATCAAAAAAATGACCATTGATTATTTCATGTTTCTGGGCGCGTCAGCAGCTACGGCAGTAATACCGTAAGTTCAGTTCATCGGTTTTTTTTAATGTGTTCATACCCCGTTAGAACGCTTTATCCAGCACCGACTTACACTTGTCTTGTGAAAGTTCCAAGGGATCAAGGGAAGGAAGGATGACGATAGGGGAAAGGTTAGATCAAGGAAGAGGAATGAAAAATCGTGCGCAGTCCTTGACCCGTTTGTTAGCGCACTAGTCCGCTGTTCATCTATATTTATCAAAAAGCACAAAAAAACTGATCAGAGCAGCCAGCCGTCCCGTTCTCCTCCAGACAACGGCTGAATTCGACCTAGATGTACGTACAGCTAGTGAGTTCTAGTGGCTGGCTTCTCTGGTAGTTTTTCGTGGTTTCTACTATCAATCTCCGGTGAATGCCAGTCTATTGCTCTAAACACGTATCACGGACTGCTCACAATCTTTCCTTCCCCTTCCTTGACCTGCCCTCTTCCCCTTACGCACACGCACGAAACTCAGGTCACACGTGTAAATACACTTATTATCGAACACAATATCGGGAGACCAGCCGGGAATTTCGTGGTAGTCCCGAGTGGGTAGGTACCCAGCGGGAGATACATTAAGAGAAGAAAAACCGTAAGTCAACGTGTAGGTACACACAGAATCTCACATTCCAGCGCGTCAGGTCACCACTACCACACTGGCGAGACTATTAAGTATTTGACGCGCACAACAAATATTCACGAAATTCTCGTGAAATTTAAATTGAATTACTAGATTTTTTTTTATTCCATGCTCAAAATAATTTTTTCTTTACTAGAAATCGTCCTTAAAATGACATCTTACGGCACAAACGTACGTTTTTCCGCAAAAATTACGTATTTGCCGTTTATGGTACGAATAATTTCATAATCACCCTTTCAGCCAACCTCTGTGCGAGAATCATAGGGAGGTAGTGGTGAACCGAAGAGGCGATCACCGTTTTTTCGCAGAGGTGTCAAGTTACCGTGACGTCACAATACAATTGTAACCAAAAATTAACTTCCATTTTCTTATAAATTTTTTAATGCTGTTTTACAAAAAAAGTGTATGCAACTGGTTTATAATGTTGCTTTATTTCATTCGTACACATGTGAAACCCGCTCCTAACTTCACTCGTTTTCAAAACATGAACTCGTGTATTGAAGCTTAAAACATTCAGGTCGTAGCCACTGTTCAACTTTTTTCCTACACAGGTCGTAAGATTTTAGGATATAATTAAAGGGTAACATCTTCTAAAACCATAAACATACAAGCAAGTTTGTTTTTTTATTTTAAAGCTACAATCCTATACTGTTACATGAAGCATCATATTATGTTTACTTTGATAATTTAAGATATTTAAATTAATAATTAAGATTAATTAGATCGCTGGTGAGGTAGATGTCTTCTATTATTATGATAAATAAATGATGTTGTCTGGTATCAATAATTTTATTAGGCTTACGATCGTTTCGATCGCGTATCGATCATCCTCAGAGCTTGCAGCTTCCGGGCAGAAAACAAAAGTTCTGCCTGCAAAAAGTTTAGTTCACAAAAAGTTTAACTTGTTTATTTCAATTTTTTACAAACCCTGTTAATATTAGAACATTATTCATAACAGTACATTAGTGCATATTGCAGTAATGGAGAAAGCATTACTTTTTATTCACAATAATAGGCTTTAGAGTGGTAATTTCGAACAGCGCTTCTTAGGTGTTGCACATCATTGCACATCATTGCACATCAATGCACATCAATGCATATCATTGAATTCCAATGCTTTTTTATTTTCTATTAAATTGCACCATTTGAAATGTGGTAGTTCTTGGTTTAGGTAGTTTATTGATCTAGATACCTCCATGAATAGTCAGCGAACGGAAAATGGCGTGATATTAGCTTTCTCAAATCACGCTTGTACGCACGTGTAGTAGCGCACGCGTCGATTTTACCAGGCGATCTGTCGGCGCCCGTAGATTCTACTGCCAGCGACCTGAATGTGCTATCATTACAACCTAATTGCAGTAGAACCCCGGTAATCCGAACTGATTGGAGCTAGTCTGTTTGGATTGGGAAATGTTCGTATTATCCGAAACAATGGTCCATACATATATGGGATTACCAGACGAACATAGCGTGCGACGTCAGAAAAAATTGAAAACGTAGCCAAAAAAACGCATCATCTCATAATCACATGGTATCATCAAGCAGATTGAGTTCCTCTAAGTGAACATCATTCTTCTTCTTCTTTTTATTATTATTATTATTATTATTATTATTATTATTATTATTATTAATTATTACCCCTCAATATCCCATAAAGGGCAAAGGTCCTGCTTTTGCAGGGCTACAGGAGGTTGATACTTGTAAAATCACTAAAGTAAGTCATCGGAATCATCAAACCCATATAAAGCGAAACAAATAGTAGCTATAAGAAACTATTTTAACACAAACTATATGAAAATTAATATATGAACAAATAAAATAATAGCTGTAAGAAACTATAAGCGAACATTACTGCTACCTAAACATGTGATACATTGAAGATACAGTGCAATAAACGTTTCATTACGACAACTTGTGATTCAATAATTAATGGTTCAGTTCTACAGATTATAAAATCCCTTCTTTACACTACAAATAAACACACTATTTATTTGCGTTGTTTATACTCCATCCCGAATTTTCTTCGGATTACGCAAACTTTCTAATTTGCGGGGTTCGGATTAGCAAGGTGCTACTGCATACTGTAATTCATTTAACCTTCATTTGCATTTTTTCGCAGCTGCCCCAGCTCGAGGTGCTGGACGTGTCAATAGGCTCCATCCGCAGCGTGAGCTCGCCGGCCGCGCAGCGTCTGCTGAGCCAGTGGCCGCGCATGCGCGAACTGCACCTCGCGCGCAATCCGCTAGGCGCGCTGCTGGCGGACCTCCCCGCGAGGCTGCCGGCGCTCCAGGTACGCAGAGGAAAGCCGCTGGCTGGATGGCGCGCGATTCGGATAACGGGAGTCGCGAAAAAAAGGTTCGCGTGTTCAAGAGAAACTGTTGTGCCCTTATGTCTCAAAAAGGATGACCGAAATGGAGAAGAAGCGAGTGCATCTGTGTTAATTCGATAATACATGGTTGCCAATTCTAATTTACTGATCATTCCGCTCTAATTATGATGATAATAATAATGATAATAATAATAATAATTATTATTAATATTATTATTATTATTATTATAATGTCGATCCCGATTGCCGAGTTCGCTAAGTCAGTAGTGCAGTGGCGATCTTGGACGGAAGGATCACGGGTTCGAGGCCCGCCTCGGACATGGGTGTGTTAATGTACGTCTGTATGTGTGCGGCGTACATTCAACTTTCATTTCAGCCATCATTCGCATCTTTGGGGAGCCACGGCAAGCGACTAGCATACGCGTCGGAATAAAAAGGGCTTGGCATTGCAGGGCGCATAGATGGCTGATGCCGCCGATAAGAGTCACACTTGGGCAACGGGATAACTGTTATAGAACCTCGATACAGTAGGTGTCTGTTCCGCGTGATGCCTCGAGCAGGGCCAATTGCGAAAAAATAAAATAATACATAATAATAATAATAAAATAATAATAATAATAATAATAATAATAATAATAATAATATAATAATATAATCCACATAAATCGGCGATTGGATCTATCAAATACGTGCTGAAGTGGATGTAACGAACAATCGACTCGTTGAGAAGTGGTGAGCTATGCAGGACTTGCTATTGTGCAGGGACTTGGTAAAACTGTAAAGTATGAACTAATAAATTAAAGTTGAAAACTCGAAAGACAGTGTACAGTCTGCTAAGACCACCAAGCCCTCATGGTTTAGGCGTATTGAATAAAAGATTGAAAGCTTCCGGCAGGGCATAGGCACTCTGATATTTATTTAGAGCTCCTGAGAATGCAACTAGAACAGTCCCCAATGCACTGAAGACGATTAGATAAAAGATGAGAATTTGAAGAACTCAGCCGAATTTCGAGGAGAGGCTTTGAGACCGACTAAAACAGCGCATCGCAGCCCTTGGGTGCCGTATAAGAAGAAAGCAGAAAGCAATAGTACAAAGACAACCGAATGCTATGTATTCATGCGACCAGAAGAGATTTTTATGGTAACCCAACGATCATAGAAAGTTGAGTGAAACAGTTCTTAAAAGCTCTGAGATCGAAGAAAATTTGAGTGATATATGGAGTATTCGCAAGACCAATGATGATGGAGCTTACTGAATAACAGAAGAGGAAGGGTAGTGTTTAATATACCTCAAATGTGCTTGCCTAATATTACACCGAGAATTATCTTCAATTCAGTCAGTAAGAAGTAGAATTGAAAAGCGTCAGGTACTTTTGGTGCAAGTATTTCCCGCGCACTCAAGCGGCTCCGGCAGGTGGTTTCAAGCTGTATTCAACGATCCGACTATCTTTCCGGTATCTTTCACTGAAGGAGTTACATTTATGATAAGCAAGTCTAACGATTCTAAGACACCGAGTAACTATCGACCTATCACATGTCTTCCCCAAGTATGTAAGATTTTGCTGAATACCCACAAACATGCCAACAATCGTCTGGCACCAGAGCAAAATGGGTGCTGAAAGGGAGCTCAAGGTTGCAAAGAACTGTTGATAGTATACAGTGTTATAGTCAGTCAACCCAAACAAAGACACCACATCATTTCTGTAAGATAAATTGACTATACCAAGGCCTTAGATTCGATTCCTCATTCGCGGCTTTTGCATGTCCTTCGCTTCTACAAAGTAAATGTCCAGTATGTGAACTTAATCCAATGGCAACTTGGCGTACAAAGATAAAAGTTTCATTTGCTGGTGGCAGCTATACTACCAAGGAACTGAGGATCAAACGAGGAATTTTTCAGGGAGATAGTCTTAGTCCCTTCTGGTTCTCCCTAGCTAGAGTCTCAACCCTCTCTGTAGAAAGTCAAGAGATTCAGGGATGTGATATGAAATCACCATAAATCCCCATATCCTCATTAATCATCAGTTCTGCATGGACTACCTCAAGTTTAACGCCAGATATAAAAACCAGCTTTCCTCGTTCCTTGATCCTGACCAACTCATCCTCATATGTGACATAAATATCCAAGAGACTGGGCAAGAGGATACCTATTTAAGCTTGTATCAACTTTTGAGCACAAGTGAAGCAAAGATGAGGTGTAATATTCAAAATAAAGTCTTGCAAAGAATCGCAAAAATCTGTAAAACTCTTTTACTAGTAAATGGAAAGAATATCATATCAGCTATCAACATTTTGGCAGTACCTGTGTCTGTCAACACATTTGGTGATCTTCACTCGGCAACAACTGCATTGCAGGACCTTAATCGAAAAGTTAGGAGTACTCTTACTAAGCATCGAATGTACTATCCTAACAGTGAAATGGCAAGACTTTACTTACTTCGGAACGAAGAAGGTAGAGGTCCTTTGGATTTTGAGTGCTTGTGCGCAAAGCAAATGAGGAATCTTCACAAATACTTCCTTGAGCAAACGACGGTCATGCAAGAAGCAATATGTGCCACTGACAAGAATTTTCCCCCACTGACCCTGAATCAAACGAACTCTCAAAGATTATGTATCACCAAAGAAGGTAGGCTGAGCGATTGGACCTAGAAGCGTTTGTACGGAAGATTTCCTGCTGGGCTCAAAGGGAACGCTGTAAACACGAGATTGTCAGTGTCCTGGCTAACACAATCTGACCTCTTTTTTGAGACAGGAGGCTTCGTTATTCCTATTCAGATCGAAGTAACATCCACTGGTAATTACGAAAGGTATATGAGTGTAGAGGACCGCTGAAGCCTTTACAATCAACCCGGAGGAACCTTCCAACATATAATGAGCGCGTGCTCTGCTTTGGCACAAACAGAATACCTGAGTCGGCACAACGACATTTTTGTTGTCCATAAGTACCAGGCTGTAAAGTCGGAGATTGTAGAAAAAAGTGACATATTACAAGTTCAAGCCGGATTCGGGTTTGGAGACGAAACTGTGGAAGCTCTAGTGAAATGTTGCAGTCACCTCTGACCGCTGGATCGAAGTCGACGGACCTGACATAATATGGGTCGACAAGGTCTAACGGAAAGGAATTATAGTGGACATGGCTATCCCTTTCGATCAAAATATATCTGTCTCCATTGCCGAGAAGAAGCGAAAATATCAGGCCTTGGCTGCTGAACTGAGAGCCATATGGCGATTAGTATCCTTTGTTGTAGTCCCAATGATAATCTTTGCAAATGGACTGATCTCTGAAGAACTGGCTTTATTGTCTTCAAGGATTGGCCTTAAGAACTGACAAATTAAATCAATGTAAAAGGCTGTTCTCCTGAGTACTGCACGCATCGTGAGAAAAATGTTATTGATATGTCTACTCTTTGAATCCTGACCGCTCAAGTTCGCAAGCGAAGCAGCTCCTTGGTTCTCCAAAGGTCCAGGTGTCTGTTGCAGGGCACCTCGCTAGAAGAGACTTGAAAGATAAAATAATAATAATAATAATAATAATAATAATAATAACATGCTAGCCTCAAATGGTACAAACATTCTCTAAAACCGGTGACGTCTGTTGAACTGTGAATTTGTTAGTCATTCAATATTATACAAACTGATCGCAAAAAACGCGATCAAAACGTCTTAACCGAGGAGGCAGAGAAACGCCTTAATTACAAGAGTTTGTAAATCGAGATCAGCATAATCTGGGGCGGAAAAGCACAGGCCTTTCCCATAGTTTTCGGAGCTCTGGGATTTGTTCCCAAAATTTGTGTAAGAACTTCGCTAATCTCTCAGGTCATTCAAAAGACTGCAATACGCAAGACATTACTTTGTTGGGAATAGCCCACATTTTGCGCAAAGTATTGTAGAGGCACCGACAACACTGACATCTACTCCTTAGGAAGCTGGTTGCCACCCATTTTAGAATTTATAATCAACCGACTAGTAACATCTACAGTCGTGAGTTAGAATAATAATAATAATAATAATAATAATAATAATAATAATATCAGTTATTATTACATAGTAATAACAAATACTCCAATCGCATTTCAAAAGTAGTGCAGCTACGGGTGCATTTACTATTCAGAAATAACAAACAACCTCAGAATTCGCTTTCCACGTGTAAGAAATTGGTGGTAATCTCGTAGGAAACGGAATTCTACAATCACGAGCAATAAAATTCCCAAACATTGCAGAGAGTGGATAGAGATGAGATGCGATGTCATTGCCGACTCACGCAAGCCACATTTTCATCACGAGCATGTTATCGCCGCTGAGCTCGCAAGTTTTCGAAGGTACCTAGAGAGCGAATTGCAGCCTAGTCCTAAAATCGTATAATGGAAAGCGCGTAATTGATGTGTCGTACGTGCAGAATCAGAGGACCAGCAATCAACACGCAAAATTAATAAATAACCAGGCAAACACATGTACAGAAAAGTGGTCGAGAGCCAATTAAGTGGAGGAACGACTAACAACCAGTAAAGATATAATCAAGGCAAAACTATTTGTTGTTTTTTGTAAACCTTATAAATTGAATTGAATTTGATTTATTTTACGTGGCGAGACTCGGGGCCATGAGGCCTGCTCTTCCGTCTGACCAGGCAAATTTCGCTACGCTCCTTTCATCAACTAGCGGAGAAAGGAGGTATTTCTTGGGCGAGAAACAGGCGATTTGAATTTAGCTCAGAGGCGTCATTTATGCTTGAGGATCTTTTACGTGCAAGTAACTCTACTAACATGGAACAACCGCCTTTACTTCCCCTCCGGAGGAAGGCGTACGAAGGATTTTGTCGCCCTAAAAATCCACGGCTTCGATCTGGTTTGAACCCGCAAGCTTGGGTATATCCGGTACGCTAACCGTCACACCATCGCCGCCGCTATAGTGGTGTAAATAGCCTCAACTTATTTACCACCATCGACAACTTTTACTACCACATGCCAATGCACATGTTCAACCTGTTTCGTATCACCTGTACGATAGAAATTACATGCAATTCACAGTAATTCGATAGACGAATCATTTGAAAACAGTTAATGTAAGGTAATGATTTAGCTATTTCCCTCTCTCAAAAATAAACCGATTACGTCAGAGGTTTAACTTCAAGGTGAGTTGGATAGAATTTCTGATTGATCAGAACTATTTAAAAACGAAAGCAACTCCAAGAAAGATATTTTAATCATACAATTTGATAGCGTATTTTTGCGGATAATGACAATTGAATAAAGCACAGTTTTAGAAATTGGAGTTTCATTGACTGTTACAACACACATAAGCAATTAAATGCATTTTTTGCAAAAAATATATTTAATTTCTTTTTTTAAATATAACGTGTTAATGTGAGCAGTTACTGTGTTGAATATTTCCCCCTTTTTGGATGTCTCAATCAGTTCCTTTGGAAGAAATTATTTAAGCAAATAAAAAAAAACACAAACATTAAAAAATGAAGCAGGAAATGACTTTGCACTTTGCGAAATGTACGTGTATTGTCAAAACTGAATGTTAATACTTCGGATTTTGCAAGTAAGTTTCACTTCTATGTCGGAAACATTCTCTCCTAGTTATGTGTAAGGTCAGTGAAGTTTTAAATAGTAAAGTGAATATTATTGACTTAATTAGTATTTATCAGGCATCGCATGCATAACTTTTCAATATATCAACTCTACATTATTGTAACAACACTTCTATTTCGGGCTCCCCTCCCCTTCTTTTAGTACCCATTACCTTCCTATTCCTTCCCTCTGACTCCATCCTAAAGAAATCAACCTCTTCCTTTTCACTTTTTACTTCCTTTCCCTTGCTTCCTCTCACAAAATCTTATCAACACCCATTTCCTCGCAACCTCACCGATTCCTCTCCTTTCCGCCAACACCATTTCTATTACATTCCATCCCACTGCACCCTTCTCATCCATTCCCACCCACTTCACTCCATCGCACCTTACCTCATTCGTCTCATCTCATCGCAGTTCTATCCCGTATAATTCCACGCCGCGATGACGTCACTTCCCGCCACGTCACTTGCGACGCGAAACGTCGCATTGTATCGCATCCTCTTCCCGCCTCCTCCGTTCCGCTCCATCCGTCCTATCTTATCACACCGGCTGACGAAGCTCAGGGCGCTACCTGATATCGCTGCAGTGCCTCTGACCGGAAGGTCCAAGGTTTCGCCACTTACATAGTAAGAAGAACATAGCGGTCGAATGAAGCCGCTGTCTGGAGGAGAGTTCCAGCGGCCGTCATGTGTGGTCTGCGCCAGATCTCATTAAGCAGTGGAAGAATAAGTTCGCTACATTCTGCGATAAAAACATGCGCCACACTTACTGGACTAATGATCTCAGCAGGTGAACTGGAATCACGATGCAACAAGTTGCATTGCATTCCTACCTCTCCCCTTCCCAGTACGCCCCTCCCCTCGCGCCCCATTCATCCTATCATTATTAACCACATCCCAAGCCAACGCGCTGAAATTTAATCGGTTGTTAATTGGTGCGCGAGCTTACTCGTATGTGGGCGTAGGTGCGTGACCTGTTCAGGTGCGGACTGCGTTGACCGTCGCATGGAATACTCTCCCCTTTCCAGAGCGTTCCACACACCCCTCCCCTTATCCCGCCCTATCCATCCTGTCGTATTACATCACATCGCGACGCAAACTGAAGTGCGTGTGCGGTGTGGTGCGCGCAGGTGCTGGACCTGTCCGGATGCGGGCTGCGCGCGGGGCCGGCGCTGCGCCTGGCGCCGGGGCAGCGCCTGCTGCGCCTGGACGTGTCGTCCAACGCCCTGGAGGGCCCCCAGGGGCTGGTGGCGGCAGG